GTGGTCACATTAGTTGTTGACAAAACTCTAGTGTTAAGCCGAGCCTACCGCCGTAGGTGAACGGATGGGTGACCATACGTTCGCTTCTACGGTGGCGAAAAAGCACCATGTTCCCAGTGCAGAAGGCAACGGGAAACCACTGCATTTAAATTTCCCCAGGATATACCAATCCAATTGGTATTAACCAACCTAACGGTTGAAAAAAACAAAAAAAAATTTGCGAATTTTCTACTATATTAAATCGAAAATGTCCAAAAAATTCTTAGACGCTTATTTATTTAAAGCCGATATATGTAATACCAAACACATTTCTTGAAAATTCGAAAATTTTTATAAATTACACTCGCACAACGCGTGGATTTATATGACACTTGATTCCATTAAAATAACTATAATACGTAACAAAAATTCATATACGAAGAATAAATAGAAACAGGAATTTTATCGCTAAACACTGGGTATTTAGTTCATATACCAAAAAAAATTTAAGCCATGTATACATTCACCAAACAGATTTTCAGAACAGATTACGTGACATAATTAAAATTATCAATCGATAGCTCGTTTTTTACCAAAATTAAAAAAAAAGTAACTAATTCAACAGCTGTTATAAGACCCAACATAATTCTGATCGATGCGGGATTGCATGAATTAGGATAATATTCAGGTTATTTGGATTACGATATTAAAAGTATTAAGGTCATAGAAAAAAAATGGAATTTGAAAACGCAATTAAAAATAATAAAATAATTCTCCTTATTGTCCTATTTTTTTTTCGGCTCTGTACTTTTATACCTTGAAACGATAAATGGAGACGTTCTTCCACCCGAACCATCCGCGGTGTTGTATAATATAAATTTGGAACTTAGCCAAAAATCTTATCTATTCTAATTGCTCATAACACATTATATAATTATTCTATAGCTATGGCCACATTTTGCAATGGTAATCTCCTCCTCGTCAATTGTTCCATTAAAGAATACTTTTTTCCTTGAGTGGGGTGTTTACCTACTGCATCAGCAGCGTATTTGAAATCCCGCGAAGAATATCTCGGGGAAATGCCACATTGTTTGTAAAACATTTCGGTAGGTCAACTAAGTCCGGCAGAATATCCAATTACTTGTATGTCCAACAGATTGGACAGAACATAATATTAACAATTCTAACTAAACCGCTTTACAATACTAAACCATACCAGCGAAATTTTCGATTTAGCAGAATTCCTACTTGGTTACCAAATTTATGAAATAACAATATCGCCAATTAAAATGAATCGGAATAACCCTGGAATTTGTGGCCATTTGCATATACGAACAGCTAGTAAGTCATAACATCGCTGTCCGTATATGTGTTACAGGACCTCTATTTTTAATTAAATGCTACATTTCGGTCATTCATCCTGAAAAAAATAATTTTATAAATATTACTATATTTTGAATAAAAAATTGATTATTGTTTACTTACTCGTATATAACTACATAGTATAATATTTCCAAACCTAATTTCCCTTGTTTATAATTTAGTCGGATAATCAAGTAGTCAAGTAACTAGGTAAAATATTAACCTCTATACGTTGCATTCACCTTGATGCTATATTGCTATCTTACTATTTTTCATAGTCATTCTTAGACAGCCATCACCACCGCTACGCCACAGCCAAGGTCGATGTTACAACCATTACCATGAATTTTGTCATTTTATTTTGAGCCACAGTCCCTTTCTTATAAAATATCCAAATCACGGCCTTGACATCTTTCTGTAATTTCATATGTAGCGAATTGATCACCAAAACATCAAACTAATACGAATCGTACATATTTATGTTCTATCTGTCCTTAGTTGTCGACCATTGAGTGTGTACGGGCCGGGGGTATTAAATAGTAAAATACTTTACCCGGTCACTATGCCCTTTTTACCAACGGTCCGGCTTCTTGGTATACCACTCCAAGGCTGACCAACCTGTTAGTGTGTGTGATAGTGTCACGTTTTCATAATCGTGAGAATTNTGTGATGGTGTCACGTTTTCATAATCGTGAGAATTATTTTAATAAAATACAGACAGCACATCCGCTGCCTGAGACTGATGAATTAACAAATAATATTTATTGCCAAATCGTCAATAGTTCTAATTATTATAAAAACCCAATAGACCTGACAATCCTCGTCAGTCGACTCCAGTGCCTTGTGTCATTCATCAGTCTCAGTACTCGGTTGTCGCTGTCCGGCTTACTGTTTAAAGTAAAGTCTTTGTTTATTCCTTTTCTAACCTATATACTCTTTTCCTCGACATTTCAGAGTACTTGTGTCTTGCACTTCGTCTGCACCTTATACTCGGCTACACCGTTCTCTCTCTCTGAAGTACTTGTGTCTTGCACTTCGTCTGCACCTCGTACTTCATTGTCCTCTCCTATACCCCAAGTATTTGTGTCTTGCACTTCGTCTGCACCTCATACCTAGGTGTTACTCTTATTCTTCCTTCCTATAACAACAGCCTTTCGACACCCACAGCTAACCCGGAGTGTCAGCCGAGCACGGTGACTGCTGTACGACAACACGCACGTGAATACCTAGACAGCAGGCACCACCTCCTCATATTCATCTTCGTACACATAGTTGCATTTTTACACTTTTACCTTTATCATTTTTACTGTGTTACGACATGTGTAATGTGGTAATAGAATCACTGGAGGTGGGAGGGGTCGCCTGCGCAAACCCAGTAATCTATGTAGTGCTAAAGTGTGTACTGTGTGTATATATGTTTTGTGTGTGCTCTTAAATTAAATAAATAAATAATTCAAAAGGTTATAATAATCAATAACAAAATATATAATAAACAATAATACAGAATAAATGATAATAGCTTATAAAAAAAAGGATAGCCCTTCTGGCTCAACAGTAGTAAATATCGACTCAGTAGTATATATTAGAGCTATAGACCTTATAACAAATAAATGATAATAACTTTAACTTCTTCAATAAATAATCAAGATAAAACTAAAATGGTTATAAAACCTTTAATGTAGTAACAAGAAATGACTAAACTATAACTATATTCTCAAGACTCTGAGAGAGTATTATTCTATAACTATATTCTCAAGATCTGTTAGGAGGGACTCAGTATCATTGGCGGCATAGCGAAACGTACGATAACAATTTATGTGACCTCAACAAAGTGAGTAAAATCCATTAAGAAAATTAAGTCCTTTTTACTATTGCTATTGAAATATATAGCATTTCGACCTAGGGATAGGATATCGAAAGAAAGTATCGATATCAGTAAGTATCGAATCATTTTATAAACCTATATTTCACAGTATCAAATTATACTGTATGGAATTATGGAATATTGTAATTTTAGGATTCGATTCCTACTGATATCGATACTAATGAATGTTAAAAATATTTGTATAATTAGTACCAATGGACAATGACTATAGTCATTACTCTGTTATTTCTATTTCTATCCACTAGTAAAAATCAAATATTTGCAATTATATTTAAAAGCCTAAATATACGTAATAAATTTAAAATACAAATTGTCTTTTAATATTTATTATACATTAATTTATACAAAATACTAATAATATTATAATTTATAATTGGTCATTATTAGCCAGTCTTCACATAGGTACATAAAAAAAATACTAATATAAAAAATATAACTAAAACCAATCTTCCTCTGGGATATCAGCTAACAATAATATTTTTTGAAGGCGAGAACTAGTTAAACGATTCCTAGATTTGGTTTATGTTGCTCCAGCCTTTGAAAAAAGTCGTTCGCAAGGAACAGATGTTGCAACCATGGTGAAATGCAAACGCGCTTGTTTATACAAAATAGGAAATACGTGTTTCATATCCTCCCATATTTCAAGAGGATCAGACTTCAGGGTTGATACTGGATTTGATAAGTATAACGATAACTCATCGTTCATAAAAGTTGTGGTCTTTTTCTTTTTTTGGCCATGAACCAAATATTTATGATGTGCCCAAAAATCGAAGTTGTCTGTTTTAGAATGTTCTCCTTTTGACTCACTAGAAGAAATGTAATTTTCCCCAGAAGATTCTTTCGTCACAAATTCCAATGGTTTTAATAAATCCAACAATTGTTTGAGCGTATCCATTTTAATCGCAGTTGGCATCACAGGAGCAGTATAATCTTTGATTAGTAATGGACTTATTAATGTTACCATCTCTACAAATCTACTGATCATATAAAAAACAGAGTTCCATCGTGTTGGAACATCTAATATTAATTTTTTCATTGACCCTTCTGGAACTCCGTTTTCCGACTGCTTCTTTCTTAAAAGATCATTAACTCTCACGCTACTTTTCACCCACTTTACGATATTTCGAACTTTAGAAATAATAGGTTTAATGTTTTTTTGCCCTACTATATGTATTGCAACTAAATTGATGGTATGAGCAAAACAAGGAATGTGTCAGTGTTTACCAAAAGTTTTGTGAACAACAGAAACAACATTTGCACCATTGTCAGTCACAATACCTACAATTTTTTCTAAGATTTATTTCCCAATCTGACAAAATTTTTTCTAACTGTTCACTAATATATTGACCAGTATGCCGCTCTTTTAACTCAGTAACTGCCAAACAAAATGATTTCAGAGAAATTTCTTCTAAGAAATGTACGGTTATACCAAGAAACTTTTTTCTGACATTGTCTCTGTCCATGTATCGAATGTCAGAGATACATGAGGTGAATTTGACAAACGCAATTTTAATGCAGCTATAATAACCTCATACTTATTATCAAGGACATTTTTTATAGTTTTAACAGAGGGAATTTTGTATGATGGTGCCAATTCTTTAATGAACCGTCTAAATCCTTTTCCTTCTACTACAGAAAATGGACGGTAATCTTTACAAATAAAGTAAAGTAATGCCATAGTTATTTTACGAAAATGATGAACACCTTCTGAAATATAAAAATAAAGTATCGATATTAATAACATAAACAACAATAAATTATGCTGATAAACATAACTGCATATGAACTAATTTTTTGAAAAGCTTCAACAATAGGATGTTTTAGCCGTTGTAAAGCCTGTGGTGGATCGTCTACACATTCCTAAAAACAAATTAATTATTAGATACAAATCTAAGAATAATTATGTGATAATTTAATTTTGTAAAAATATTTATGTATTCATCGCTTATCAAAGTATCGATAAACCAGTCTGATGATAACAATTATTTTATATTTTTAATGTGTATACCCAGTTATTGACACAGAAAATTAGATGCCTATTATATAAATACAAATACACAAACACACTATAAATATAATTATACAACATATATAATAATTAATAATTATTACCTCTGCTCAGAGTCTTCCATACAAAGCGTTAGTTGTCGCGACTGAGTTTTTGATGAGTAACGTTCTGGCAATGTAGGCAATGGCGATACAGAACTACAGAAAATATATAAACATTAGTGTTTGATAGAGTGACATTACTTATAATTGAATCAGTTATTTTAAAAACAACATAAGTCATAAAATTGATATTTTACACAAATTATAAATAACTTCATAAATTTACATTTGTTTGTATATTTACTTATACATAAATTTATTTTGCGAGTCTGTGATATTCATTATTTATGGTTTTAAATAGTGTATTTTTAATTACATTTATAAAATAGTGACATGTTGTTTTTGAAATTACCGATTCAATTTCAATAAAAAATAAATAAACAATTTAATAAGTTACTTACTTTTGAGTGATAGTCAATTTTGACTGTTTGACTATGGATGATTTAGTATTAGTCAAATTTGAATGTTTTTTTAAATGTTTGGATAAATTTGAAGTATTGCCACAATAGAGTACTTCTTGAGAACAATGCTTGCATAATGCAAGAACAGCGTCAACTTTTTTTAAATATATCCAAACTTTTCTCTTTGGAGGAGACATAATTTTTTGAAAAATAATTTAATAAATTTAAAAAATGTAAAAAAGAAGCAGCGGTCGCACACGTGCAAATCAATCGAAAATTAATAACGTACAAGGTTAATAATGTTAATAATAACTTATTATTGATATTTAGAGCATTCGTGTATGTCCCCGATTTCATAGTACCTGTCTATATCACAGACTATATGAAAATATATGTATATAGTCTGTGCGACTGTGCCTATACGACTATACAGAATGTTTGATATTTCTTACCTTCTCAGTAAACGGGCATTTAATTACACCGATTAGGAAATCTATTGTATTGTGATTTGTGGACTGTGGTCGGTGGTTCAAAATAGATTGTTCGATACGAGTACTTTTAAACCGTTATGGTGGTAAATGATTCGATACTATTTATTCGATACCAATACTTTTTTATCGATATGAGTAAAGTATCGAAACAATTGTATCGATACAAAAAGTACTTGTATCGAAAGAAAAGTATCGATACTTTACTCGTATCGGTAGTATCGCAACGTCCCTATTTCGACCTATGAATTGTGAATCACTTTCATAACTACAACTTTTTTTTAATGTGTTCAAAGAAAATATTATTAAAATAATATTATTATAATATTATTCTTCGATATAGCTTGACTTAAGAAAAATTAAAATAATGAACCTGCGTGAGTACAAGCGTTGTGTTCATTCAATTGTTATTATTATTGGACCTTGATTATTTTTTATATTAAGAAAGTAATTAATTGCCCTACTTAATAGATACAATTTTCAATATAGCACAGCACGCATGTTAAGTTCCCATAGGTAAAACACAAAATGAATAATGCTTTACAGTCAACAGTTGCCACAGCCTTAGTTATAACTGCACATTAAGAGAACATGACAATTTTAAATAAGGGATTCTTTGCATAGACTTCTAACAGTAAATTTTGTGTGGTATTTTGTGACTTCATTAAATAAACATTACTTAAAAAATTGCAATTGTTACTAATATAGTGAGCCAGTTAATATTATTAGGCAATATCTTTAAATATGCTATTCGACATGCAAATTTTATCACCAAACTATTCATTAATGGTTAACTTGAGTTGTTGCAGCAATAAAACAAAATCACTTTAAAATCCGTTATTATGGTTACACTTATATTAAGATAAATCATAAATAATTTCATAAGTCCCGCAATAGGCGCAAGTCAGCCAAATTTAAGATGCCCTTAATGTATGTTTTTCTTGATAAATTACAAGAAAATGAATTTTATCAGATAATCACTATGCATTTTTGTATTCATTTAATATACATTATTATATTGCATGCATGTTTTACTTAGTTATGGCACCTATTGTACGTATGCAAGTTTTTTGCAACATTTTAGCTACATTAGGATAAAATAACTTTTTAACTGTCTAACATTAAATATTCTATTACGTTATTTCTTTCGAATATTTAAAAATTTTATAGTGCGTGCATTGCTAACGATTGTATTCAAGCTCATTACAACTCTTTTATATATCTTAAAATAAACATTAGCATTCTGAACATTGGAATAGGCCAGATTGTGAGGGATTACTCTGCCTTTTATAATGATTTATATCTCCAAAAATCACATTGTCTTATTATTGCAATGTTATTTTTTTATTGACAAGTTATCATAAAATATGTAAATTAATATATAAAATAGCATCAAATATATAAATTAATACATTCGAATAATATACAAATCACTTTGATACTTTTTATGAAGTTAATATAGTTTGTTTTTATATATAAGTTTAGGGTTTTACACGTTGTGTTTTATTATTCAGATAAGAGTAAAAAGAGCTGACAAGTGTAATTTCATAAATTTCTTGTGGGAATAAGAATAACTAATAATTGAATCGTGTGTCATAATATATTGTACAGCACTATGCGCATGACAAAATAGATAGGTATGTCAGCAACTTTGTGATACTCCTCGCCCCATCTATAGCTGGTTCGCCACATTTCATTGGCCGAATATTTGTATTATCATTTCCCATAAATATATTGATATTATTATCATTTATGCGTTAATATTTAATATTGTGCAAACATAATTTGTAGCGTATAGAGGAATAATGAAAAATTATGTATGTAATATACTTAATATTTAGAAGTGATTTCATTGCATTAAATGATATATAATTTGCTTCACATTAATGTTACTTTTTTTTTGTATAAAGCCAAGAGGTTGGTTTGTCAGCACAGTATCCTAAGGCGAACTGGCCTAGTGTTATTTGGTAATTTAATTTTACTTATTACATACATTTATTTATTAAGTAAATTTTTGTTTTTTAAATTTAAGTAAAAGTATGTAAGTATATCAAGTTTTCAAAATATTTTAAGACACTTAAAATAAACGATGTTCATTTTATTTAATAAACCCGGCATAATAATTTCATATCAAATAATTTGCAAATTGATCATATTTGTTTATATTGTAGTATAAATAGATATCACAATAGATTGATATCAATCAATAATAGTAAAAGGTAAAGATATCATAAAAAACAATACAAAATATTAAAGTTGCTGTCAAGTATTTGATTTAAAGAATTGTATTTTGGCGAGCAAACCTACGGCCAATGAAATGAGACGAACCACTACTATGAGTGAGAAGGGCGGGATGCGTCAAACGGTCCAAAACTCGTTTGTTGCTGACATACCTATCTATTTTGTCATGACTATGCGTTTGTTTAAGTTATATATTTAAATTATTTATTTGACAAGAATTATGATATCTTAATGATATTAATAGAAATTATAAACAAAAGCGTCAATTATTTTAAAATGAAAGATTAAATGGAAGACTAATATTGTGGATGCATATTGTGTTATATCATATTATCATAGTAACGAGTATATTACAACATATCCCACCAATTAACTTTTATTTCAGAAATTTTTTTTTTAATTGTCCCAAACTATTTTGTATTGTTAAGGTCTTACTATAAATTAAATAGGAAACCTCAGTACCTAAGGTCGATGTAGCCTAGCTAACTATCCCTCGTTAGTCCTTTACAATACAGTTGATAGGCATTTAGGCTTAATCCCTAAATGACAACGTAACATAACATTATAATTTTTTTATTTTAATATTATAAACAGTAAAAAAATAACGGTTTTTAACTTTATTCATCATTATATATTTATAATTTAGTGAAATATTTTAATATTATGTTGTATCAAGTGTGCAAGTGAAGACTGAAACAAAAATAAAAAATTTACAAAAAAAGACTATGAACATTAGAGACACAAACAATAATTTCAGAAGTGTTTTTAAATTTTACACAAGAAATATAAAATTAATAAAGTAATAATTAAACCATATTAAATTTTTAAATTAATTTTGTTGATACTTATATTATGCAGTTGAAGCTAAGTAAATAATTTTACAGTAAACTAAATAAGTTTACTGTCTAATTCTTTTTTTTTACAGTGTGAAAGTTTTTCAAACCCCAAATCTTCATAACAAGATTTGCTAACATTTTCACAAAAATTGCCATAAAAATTAAATGCATTAAGCATAATTTTGCTGGACATTTCATAATTTGAATGAACTGATATATTTCCTAGGTTCCTAAAATAGCTTACATAATCCTTAACATTTTCAAATTTGTCATCTATAGAACACCGGGTGTCATATAAAATCAAATCGCTCCGTAAATTTGCACTAAATATATTAAAATAGTTTTTAAAAATTACTAGGTATTGTTCAATCATTTCGGTGTTATTATCATCATGTGTAATACCAACATTTTTTAGAAAAATATCATTTTTTTCTAATAAGCTAAGAAAACCTGTAACCCATTTAAAAATCTTATATAAACTAGATTTAGAGGTCAAATTAACAGTCCATATTGATGATTTATTTAGAGTAACTAAAGCTTCATACAAATCTTCATGCATTTTTTTTGATTCGTTGAATGAGCTAAATAATTTAATCAAACAATTATGGTAACATTCGTATGCATCTTTATTGCATACAAATAATATAGCAGATAATAATGTACGATAGTTCTTCATTATTTCTGTAAATCTACATCTTAATAATTGTGATACATGTTCTTTTTTTATTCGGAAATTTATGTTACTAACTTCATCATTTATTATACGATCTACACTAATTTTTCTACCAAAATAAACTATACTAATGTGGTTCATTTTTTCCCAACCAGATTCTTTACGAATAATATTAAGGGCTTCAATTCCATCATTTTGATTTGTATCTGGATCTATCGGAGGTATGAATCTATATTAAAAAATAAATAGTGATTATTACATACAAATATAAAAATTATAATTGTAAATATTGGTAATGAGATATTGTATTACTTTCATTCGGGTTAAATACACAAATATGATTAAAATTTAGAATTTTTATTATAAATAATTATTTATTTGTTGAATAAATAAAATGATTTTTTTAATTATATTAATATATCAATTAAACCTATAATAATATTTTAAGAGTATTTCTTTCATAAATATCTACGAATTTATTAATACTTTTGGACAAATCAATTCGAATATTGCCAATAATATTTTACTAAGTATTTTTAAATGTAAGAATGCTCACTCTTCTCTTTTAGGGTTGAGAAATTCTTCAAATCCTAGGTTTTTATACCAATTTTTTATAATTTCACTGAAAAACATATTAAGTAAACTTTTTTTTGAAGATCTAACGTTAATAGGTAATTCCGCAATTTTAATACATTTTAAATCATTTATTAAAGAAGTGTCCAAGTTCTTATAATTTTGTAAATAGTTGTTTACTCTTATTGATGCGTCTGTTTGAAATTTTGTCAAATTCTTGAATTTCATTTCAGATATTTCATAAGGTGATTTGTTGAGATCCAAAGAGGTAGTCTCTTTACTTTTTTCTAAGACGTACTGATATATAAAGTCAATTTCATCTATTATAGGATGCAGCACGAAGTCTTCAGAAAACAAAAATCTTATATCTATGTAGCTTATAAACTTCACAGCATTGTGTAAATTCTCAATCATAGTCTTGGAATTTTTCACAATTATTTCAAGAAATTGTACACAACGAATAAAATTTTTCGGTGACTTTTTTTCATTATGAAACTTCTGACAGTTATTAAGGATAAGATTTAATAAATCAAGAAATTTTTTTAAAATTTCTAAGTACTTGAAATTGAGTATACTTATTGTATAAATATACTTTGGTTTAAAAGATAGCAGGTTTGAGTTTGGACGAAAAGCTTCCTCTAAAGAAGAAATATTATTTGAATCTTGTTTTTGATACAATATAATTTGTGAACAAATGTGACTCACCACCCTTGCGATATAATTTTCATACATTGCATGATAACTTTTGTATTGTTCTCCTTCAATTAGATTCAACGTGAAAACGATAATACATGATAAAATAAACGAATAAAATTTCATTTTAAAAAAATTATAATATGAAAAATTTTTTGTTTATAACTTAGGTAGATTTATAATGCACTTATTCAAATGTCCTTATTTGAATTTTACACATTATTTAAGAAAAAAAATGTGAAATAAGAATATAGAGAAAATGTAAGTTACAGTGACAATATATTTCAATCAAATATAGTTCTGTTTTTATTGTATTACTAATATTTTTTTTATAGAATGTATGAGTTATATTATCACCTAATCAATGTTCTTTTTGAATATTTCTGTTGATAGCATCAATTATTCACAATAATATTTTTTGTTATATTTTCTTATTTCATATAACGAAACTTTGTTTTTACTTTAAAGATTAATGTATAAAAGTTAATAACACATGTAATTCAATTATTCCATTAATAGTTAACAAAAAAAAAGTTAACTGAATGCTATTGCTTTTATCATAAACATTTTAACTTTATTAACACTTATTTGTTTATTTGTTCAGTTTGTCTAAACATTTTTTTACAGCCATTACTTATTTTAAAAATTATTTTACTATTCAAGGTAAAAAAAATTAATACATTACTTATATATTTATTATTTTTTTTTACGAAATTGTCAAAAGCACAGGTTTTTATACTAGATTTCTATAATCTCATTTAAAAACTTTAAATTATATTTTTTCTTGAAGAAATAACGTCATTAGAGAATTACACTATGTGATTTTTTTTAAATAATCTAATTAATAAACTTCATGCGTCTGTAAAAAAATTTTTCATATATCATTTCTTAGTCAAACATTTTAATATAATAATGATTCAAGTGTGCAATTAAAAACTGAAACAAATATAGCAAATTTACAAAAAATACTGTTGAGTTTTTTATACATAGCTTTTATTTAAATATTATAGTTTAACAATACAGTTTTTATTGAAAAGTATTGCATCAAACCCTTTTAATTTTTATACACATTAAAAGTAAAGAAATATACAACTACCATATTATTTTTATAATTTATCCGTATAAATAACAATAATAAATGATTGAATATCAATTTCATACTTAATTTAATTACTAAAATTAATATTTATTAATTTATTTTTTTTTTAAATCAAAAAACCGCTAAGGAAATAGGAGTTTATGTTGCTTTTGTAATTATCCACCAATTTTTTAGAATTCAACACTATCTACAGATTTGCAACGAAGCGTTTCGTAAGATAGTGATTTCATTGTCGAAAATTATCTATACTTGTCGCAACTTTGCCATGTCCACACTGTGCCTCGACTCCACTGTGCTACCGTTTTTTTATTATTATTTATAATAGAAGTTGCACGAATTGGAGTTTAAAATAAATAATTTATTTTATGAAAACGAAAATATTATTGAACAAAATGTTGCTCTACAAGAAGAAATGTTATACTATAAATGAAATTAATTTTTCATTACACAAATCTATTTTTTCCACTTACATTATAATTAGAATTAGACTAAACTGAAAAAAGAAGTTAAAAAACTTCAACCAACGATATATTAATACGGGAGAATATTATAAACCAAGACAAACTAAGATTAATTAAATAAATAATAATAAAATAGAACTTTTTTTTATAAATAAACATTTTTATCTATAAAAAATATATTTCTTAAAATTTAGGAAAGCTTAAAAATAGCTGGTTCTGAACCACTAATATTAGACTCTATGATTAAACAGATCTGTTCCTGAAAAGTTTAGACATTTGGAGAATATTATTTTTCAAAAATAGAAAAACAAGCAATTAATTATTTTTAAAAACTTAATATTAAAAGTGTTCCGTGTGAGTCAGCTAGACCGTAGAATAGCTAGTTGTGCACCACACTAGAATGAAGTTTTACCTTAAGCCTATTTAAATCAATATTATTGAAGCGTTACAGGGGTCACTTTGGAGGATAACGGCTAACCACATATGTAATAAGTTACGAGAGTAGACAATAATTAAATAACAAATAACAACATACAGAGTGATTTTTTTATCATAACCCACTTAATTACTTGCAGAATATATATATAATTTAAACATTTTTTTTTTTTTTTGGTTTTCTTTAGTTACACATTAACTATTTTACTCTGTCGTTTGTTCGGCGCTATAAATGTGCGTATGGTAATTAAAAAAATTGACATTAATGTAAACTAAGCTCCAAATGAGCGATATATTTGTAAAAAATAATAAAATTAAAGTTGGCCAGAAAAGTTATTAAATATAATAAAAATTGATCACTTGTGGCTAATTAATTAAATAAAATTAAAATTATATTAGAATTATTATTAATTTAAAAATACTGTGTTTAGCGTTGATAAGTTTAATATTTTAGCTTCGATGCTAAGCTGAGAAGGTATTGGTTTTACTATGATGTGTTTTTTTTTTGTGTCTTGTAAGCTAAACTAATAAACATCAGCCTAACTTTACAAGGACCCCAAGAAGGGTCCACCCTGGGCCGAGGCAAATCCGGAGCACCAGGGATTTTGTACCTTATTCTATGGGGAAAGGTAATGAAAAATAGTAATTCTTTATGATAACAATGATTAAAATTTATTAATTATTATAAGTTCATTTTTTTTTTTTTGTTTTTATTATTATGACAAAAAATTTTAATGAACAATTAAAGCATATTAATAAATAAAATATATTGAATCAAATTAACAGTATGTGAAATAAAATACTATAAACAAATAAATGATGGTCAAGGATTCTAAAAGAAAATATGAATAGAAAGTCTAAGATAATAAATATGAAACCACAAGTCATAACAGAAACAGGTAAATGAAAACAGATCCAGTTAATATGATTCCTCCCGAATAAATTATTTTTATTTACATGCATTATTTGGCACACATGGCGGTAACATTATGATTTATTGCAATTAGAACTAAATGTCTATAGACTTATAGGCTTCAGAACGGCCTTTGTATTTTGTGAATTGTATAATTACACATAATCAGTATTTAAAAGTCCATTTCAGAACGACTCGACATATCAACTATTAACTGGATCAAATAATTAATTCAATAATGTACCAACAGGAGAAAACAAAGAAAATAGGAGGGTAACGTGGGTATGACAGATCCATCGTATGGGTCAGGGTAAAATGGACATGTCACCAACATCAATGGGTATCCCCTACATAAATATAGGGGACCCATTGAGATGTTCACCATGTCCACCCTGACCACACCCGAGGACCTGTCAACTCACGTAAGGTGAAGAAAGAAAATTAAAGAAACAGAAAGAATTGACTATATAACATAATCTCAAATCATAGTTACAATCCCTATAGTCATTAACTAAAAAATAAGAGGATGACGAAATAGTCATAGCCCATAACACAATGAAGTAATTTACATATGCAAAACAAAATATAACAAACAGAAAAGGATAAAAAATATACCATGTGATAATACTTAGTTGTTGAATTCCCAAGAAAATGTATTGGTATTGATGCCATTATGATGGCCAAGACAAATTGAAAAAACTTTACTCCTCCATCACGGATTCGTAACACATGTCAAAAAATATTGAGGAGACAATGCCATTGATCCAAACGAAGAAGACGTAGTGAAGAAAACGAATGATGATTGAGAGCTTCTTTTTTGAACATAACCATATTTTTTCTTATGCCAGCTTGATCACACATGGGAGAGGGTACTTGACAGTGTGTTCATTATTATGGTTTTTTTTAGGATGAGAATCACAGGTGGTAGGAAATATATATCAATTTAATAAATAATTATGTGTGTATGTGCAACACTGAACCTACGGATGTACGACGCGCACTGTTTGAATACAGTTACCTGTGACCTGATACTCATGATAATTTTATTACGTTACAGTCTGTTACCATTTTTTCTCAGCTCTCACCGAACCGATTTCTTTTAATGATATGTCAAAAGATCACAAATCGTATCTAGTCGAAGACATTACCCTCAAAAATTGAAAAAATTTCCCTCGTTCCCCGTAAATGGAGGAAACCTCCAAAAAAATTACAAATTTAAAAATCGCTAATTTTCGACATTTTTTCAATTTTTTTTACTTAAAATTGCCATAACTTTTTTAAAAATAACCAAATCAATATAATTTTTTTTTACATAGATGCATGATGTCATTACCTTTTATTTGGTATATTTTTTTTATAAATTTAATTCTTTACCTGCTCACAGAGAGGGATTTAAAATTACAACTTTTTGATAAAAAATTAACTTTTTCAACATGATTTTTTAAAATATTTCGGGAAGTCTGACACTTTTATATATATTTTAAACTAAAGTTAATGTAATTTAATTTATTATAGAAAAAAAAAATTCGGACTTTATTTTGTCTTCACGGTGAAAATGGCTACTAAATGCTATTTTTGTGTGAAAATTCTCGATTTTATTTTTTACATTTTTAACTTTATAATGCTATAACTTTTTGAAAAGTGTATGGATCAACATAATTTTTTTATGAAAAATAATAATTTTTAATAATCCCTTTTTCATTCGATATACTTTATCTGAATCAGGATATTAATAACGAACTAGCAGATCATGTAGCTTTTGGAATATTCCACCATTTTTTTAAAATTATACACTATCCAAAGATTTACATCGAAGCGTTTTTTTTTTTATA